CAAGATATTAATACAAATCTCTTCCTCCTACGCAACCACCAATCTAGTACTCTGGTTGATGGCTTGAGGCTACCCAGGAAGATGAGGGGTGCAGAAGTCCCTTGGGTAGTGAAGGTGTGAAGACCCTGGGGAAGCCAAGTCCTGCCCAGTCCATGCTGCTCCAGAGTTTACAGAGTTCTGAAGGGCAGTAGGAAATGGAGAAGCCCAGTTCAATATACCAGCATGTAATGGCCTGCATCCTCCCTTCGGTCCAGTTGGCATCCCTTAGGACCAGTCGCAGGGGAGATCTGAGCATCTGAGCCTTTGGCTGGGAAGTCACCTACAGGGGTCTGGGAAAGGGTGGGAAGAAGGCAAGGTATGTTGTTAATGGCTCCTGATTTTGAGTGTGTCTGAGTCCGAGGCTGGAGTTCATTTAGGGTCACTGATGTGCCCTGGGTGGTCATGTAGGAGCTCTAGGCCTGAGAGCTGCAGCTACTGTGATGAATTGGCTTATCCGCTATGGGATCAGGGGAGCATGGCGTGGAAGCCTGTGGAAGTCAAGGGCTATATCCCTGGTGCATATTCTCTGGCAGAGAGGGCTGGAGACAAGCATTATCGAGGAAGACAGGAGTCAGTCCGGACTCCAGCGGGGGGCAGCCTGTGCAATAGCAAATCATGCTTGGCAGAAGGTTTACTTGCATGCACCTCACTTAAAGACATTTGCACCACACTGCGTGTTGGGGCCCTTGGGCTTGCTGGATGCAGCATGGCAGCCCAGGACCTGTGGTTCCCTATTTCCAGGAGCTTGGAAGGAAATAGTTTCCAGGCCCCTCAAGCTTAGGGAAGAGGAGGCAGCGGCATCCAAGCTGAGTTGGAGGAAGCTGCTGATACTCTCTGGCTTCATTTCTTTGGATCTCTTGGAGTTGGGCATGGAAGCCAGGCCTCCCCCTAGAGCGGCCTTGAACATGGATATTGGAGGTTGGCTTCCTTTTCTTCTCAGTCCATGGGCATCTTCTTGAGCGTCACGCTGGCTGTTCCCAGCACTGCTGGGCCTTGGTGACTTGATTGGAATCGCTTTTCTACAGAGAGGAGCCTGCAGATGTTGCTGTACCAGCCAGTGTGGGCAGGACTTTGCCCCTGGTTGGGTTTTCCTGGACTCTAGGAAATGGGGTGGGTGGAGGTTACTTAGGGGTGACAGGCTCCAGGCCTTGGCTCTGAGGTCATTGCTCCACTCTGGGTCCGGTCCCGCCCTGGGGACATGCTTGTGACTGTTGTTGGAGCTATCAGGGTTGTTTTTAGGAGGTCTGGGATGAGGGGTTAGGGTTCAGGATGCCAAGTCTGTGCCAAAAATAAAATCTGCATCTTCTCACAGCTCCAGCTGTGCTGTGGTGTCTGCTTGTGGGTCCAGGATGAGGGGTGGGGGCTGCTGGGTGAAGGACAGAGGGAGAGTCTGGGAGATGGCAGGTCCTACTACATCACATCCTCTTTCTGAAGATGCTCCTACAAAGCATTGAAGGGTAGCCAAGGGGCCTCCAGTCTGGAGAAGAGGCCCAGGACCATGCATCTCTTGTAATCTTTTTCCAAAAGCTGCTCTGGTTAGCCTACGGCAGCAGCAAGAGCCTGCCCTTTGAGACGGAGGCTCTCTGGGCTCCAGGCCTGGCTTAGACACGTTATGTCAGGAGCCTCCATTTGTATTGCCCCATCTGTAAAGTGAGGGTAACCCTGCCTGCCTCCTGGGGTCACCATGAGCATCACATTAAGGACTGAAAGGGTCTGGAGGGTTGGCTCCGTGAGTAAAGTGCTGTGCAAGCATGAGGACCTGAGTTTGGAGCAACAGAATCTACACGGACGCGGAGGACAGCGATGTATGCCTGTCACTCCATCTCCTGGGGTTGCTGGTCAGCCAGCTTAGCTGAAATGGCACACTCCAGGTTGAACGAGCGCCTCTCTCAAAAAATATGGTGGAGAGGCAATTGAGGTAGACATCTTGATGTCAACCCCTGGCACCCATGTATACCCACAAGGCAAGTGCACCACATACACAAATTCTCTCTGTGTGTGTCTCCGTTTCTGTCTCTCTCTGTCTCTGTCTCTCTGTCTCTCTGTCTCTCTCTCTCTTTCACACACACACACACACACACACACACACACACACACACACACACACACATCAGCCAAAGTTTATGTAGAGTCCAGCTACAGAAAGCAGCGGAGAAATTGCTCCCACGGTGTTATATGTGGTAACACCCTCTTGCATTTTGATGTAGGGACCCCAGGAGCCCAAAGGCAGTGGAGATGACTTGAGCATCAGCTAAGCAGTCACAGACTGTCTCATTGGGAGGACCCAGGGCCGTCTCAGCCTCCACAGAGGCTGAGGGAAGAGAGGTGGGCTTACACTGGCTTGCCCACAGCAGGTTCTTGGAGGGACAAGGTGCTCTGGTTGGGAACAAGCAATGTCCATTAAGGTTCCCTCACAGCTCGTGGCCAGGGAGACCTCAAGAGGACAGTCTGGCACCACCCACGCTGTGCCATATGTCATCAGGAGTTCTGATTGTCTAGGACTGCTGCCGACTGGCAATGTATCCCCGAGGCTGCCTTTGTTCCTCTGTCTTGGTTCTGCTTCACTGGGAGTGGTTCCTGCCCTGCAGCCTTCATCCCAGGAGAGCTGCTTTGAACCACATAGGTAGACTCTGGATGGTGAAGAGGATGTGAAAACTCTGTGCCCCCATAATAAGGGTGGCTGTGGGGTAGGTACCCCAGGAGGGTCAGTGCAAGTGCGAATAGGGACAAAATTGGTTTAACCTGCAAAGGCTTTGATAAAATCCACAGAGGGGAAGAGAATGGGTACCCAGCCGGTGGCCATTTGGTCTGCAGACTGGCTGGGGTTTCTGGGATGCTGGAAGATTGCTGGAATCTTGGAGACTGAGTCAGGTAGGTAGGTAGGTAGGTAGGCCAGAAGGGCGCCCCCTGGTGGCTCATGTACAGAGCACAGCCTGGTGTCTTTACAGTCTCAGTTCCTGGCCCATCCCCTGATATGTGGCCCTGGAGTCATTTAAGGTCTATTATAAGGTGGAGACTAATGGATAATAATGTGATAATTGACCATGGCTTTGGGGGCAAAGAAGGGAGGGACTGGGAACTCTGCAAGTCACATTTGGGATTTGTAGCAAGCAACTTCATCACTCCTGAGGGACTGACAGAGAAGCTGGCTGTATTGAGAGACCCCAGCCCAGTGATACCGTTGGAGGCACCAGGCTTGACAGACTTATATGGAAACTTGCCTTGCACCTGTGTAAATAAAAAACAACAACATCTGAATGGTAAAACACAGCACTTGAATGCATGCTGACGTGGTCTTGTTTTCCGGGGTTAAATCCTGACTGGGTTGGGGGAGGGGAGGCTGGAGGGGCGGGAGGAGGGAAGAGGGAGATCTGCGATTGGTATGTAAAATGAATAAATTTTTTTTGTAATAAAACAAAACAATGAGTAAAGGAGAGAAAAGGACAGAGAAGTAAACAAGCTTTTTGTGTCCTGAGGCTGTGGGTTCGGTAAAGACCGAGAGGACCAATCCCAGGTTGCCTTCCAATCAGACACAGGCCCCAAGTCTGGAGGTCCTGGGGCTACTCTCCCCGGGGACTAGTTGGTCTGGCTCAGGTGAGGAACTGGACAACACCAGGAAGCAGCCAGGTTGCAGACAAGTTCTCCAGCCTGTCGGATGTAGACAAGACGGTCCACAGCAGTCCAGCCCTGGCCAGCACCAGTTACCTGGGGTTCAGATGTGGCAAGACCATTGCCACACAGTCAGCCCCAGGGGGCTGCAGAACAGAGTGACAGACAGATGCAAAATGGGGTTAGAAATTAGTCTCTCTCTTCTCCTCTCTCTCTCTCTCTCTTGTGTGTGGATGTGTGTGTGTATCTGTCTGTCTGTCTGTCTCTCTCTTGTGTGTATGTGTGTGTGTCTGTCTGTCTGTCTCTTGTGTGTTTGTGTGTATGTGTGTGTGTGTCTGTCTGTCTGTCTGTCTCTCTCTCTTGTGTGTGTGTGTGTCTGTCTGTCTGTCTCTCTCTCTCTCTGTCTCTCTCTCGTGTGTGTGTGTGTGTCTATCTGTCTGTCTGTCTGTCTCTCTCTCTGTGTACTTGACATGCATGCTGTGGTGTGCACCCTGAGGCCAGAACACAACCTTTGGGAGTCCATGTTTTTCTCCCCCTACCATATGGAGCCCGGGACCCGACCCAGGTCATCAGGCTTCATGGCAAGCACCCTTACCTATGGATTCCTCTCCTTTTTTGTTTGTTTGTTTGTTTGTTTTAAGCTGGGATCTCAGGTGTCTTAGGAGGGCTTTGTAGCCACCAATGACATGGAACTTCTGACCCGTTAGCTTCCACTTCCTCAGTGCTGTGGTTACAGGCACGAGCCGCCACACTCAGTGTCTGCAGTGCTGGGGACTGGACCGGGGTTTTGTGCATGTTAGGCAAGCACTCTACCACCTGAAAGACACCCCCATGTGAGAGGCCAGGTTTTCACCCCCCTCTAGCTCCCATTGGAAGTTTGCAGGCCCAAGTGAAGGGTCAGTGCCTTGGGTGAAAGTGGCCTTTCCATCCTTTCACATTAGAGACAGTTTCCTACAACTTTGGGAAACTGTAGCAGTGGACATTGAACCCGCACTGGCTGTAGATGAAGGGAAGGAAATTCAGACAGGGAAAGCCTGACTGAGATAGAGGGCTGACCATAAGAAAACTGTCTCTTCTGGCTCCAGGGTGTTAGCCATAGGAAAAGTTTTATGAAGTCAGTGGTGGCCCACTAATCCACCTCCAAGGCATTGGTGTTCAGGAACGGGAACGGGGTTTTCTGTTGGCTTCCTCAGCGGTTACTAAGGACCTCCCCTTCTGTCCCACTCTGCACTCCAGCTTCCATAAAGACATTTGGGACATCTCAGAATGTCTCTGCACACAGGCCCTGGGAGGTCTGTAGGGGAAGCTGGGAAGATGCCAGGCGGCAAGTCACGTGGGCATCTTTCCACATCTCCTCATCTGCTTCTGGCCAGCGCCTGCGTGGCTCCTGAAGGAGGGCAGTTGGTGGCTCAGGCTGGCTGAGGAGATGGGTTGTTGAAATCAGTTGGCCAGATTGTCTGCCTGCCTGGGAAGACAGTTTGGCAGCTTCCGCTGAAGTTAAACATGCATCTACCCTATGATCCAGGATTCTCACTCCCACGTATTTACCCAAAATAAATGGAAACATATGTCCAAGAAGACATGAACAAGAATGTTCACGGTGGCTCTGGTATCACTGCCAAAAACTAGAAACACATGTGACTGTCAGCAGGGGAAGCGGCAAGCAAATGGCTCTGTCCATCACCAGGGGACCGTTCCGGAACAGAGGAGCAGTGACAGATGACGGGGGTCCCATTAAAAGCCACTGCGCTAGGTGAGAGAAGCAGACATGTAAACAGCGCAGATGGTGACATGAAATTCTCTGAAAGGCAAAGCCAGGCTGGAGTGACAGAGTCAGCACAAAGGTTGCCTAGAAAGGGCTGGTGGTGGTGGTGCTGGTGCTGCTGGTGGTGGTGGTGCTGCTGGTGCTGGTGCTGGTCGTGGTGTGTGTGGTGCTGGTGGTGCTGGTGGTGGTGGTGCTGCTGCTGCTGTTGGTGGTGGTCGAGCAGGTAGGGGTTGGCTAGGAAGAGGTGTGAGTGAGTTTCTGGGGGGATGGGAGGTCATGCATCTGGTCTGGAATGGTGATGACATGTACATTGGCCCAAATCTACCAATTTGTGTACCTAAAATCTAAACATATTAGAGTAGATAATTTACACCACAGGTTTGTTTTTAATTTCTTGAACAAGTTTGAAATAGAAATTAAGAACCTTCAAATTTATGTGTGTGTGTGTGTGTGTGTGTGTGTGTGTGTGTGTGTGTGTGTGCGCGTGTGCGCGTGTTCACGTGTTCATGTAGAATCTACATTGTAGATGAATGCAGGGATATGTGTGTCTTGTGCCATGCACATGTGTGGAGGTCGGAAGACAACTTAGAATGACGGTTCTTAGCTTCTGTTTCTTGTAAGTCAGGGCTTGTTAGCCGCTGAAGGCCCAGGCTAGCCAGCTCACAAGCTTCTCAGGGTTCTGTTTGTACTTCCTATCTTGCCATAGAGTGCAAGATTGTAGCTGGGCCTCCTGTGTCCACAGAGTGCTGGGATAGCAGGTGGGCCTCCTGTGTCCACAGAGTGCTGGGATAGCAGGTGGTCCCCCTGTGTCCACAGAGTGCAGGGATAGCAGGTGGGCCTCCTGTGTCCACAGAGTGCAGGGATAGCAGGTGGTCCTCCTGTGTCCACAGAGTGCTGGGATAGCAGGTGGGCCTCCTGTGTCCACAGAGTGCTGGGATAGCAGGTGGGCCTCCTGTGTCCACAGAGTGCAGGGATAGCAGGTGGTCCTACTGTGTCCACAGAGTGCTGGGATAGCAGGTGGTCCCCCTGTGTCCACAGAGTGCTGGGATAGCAGGTGGGCCTCCTGTGTCCACAGAGTGCAGGGATAGCAGGTAGCCTACCCTGTCCAGCTTTACATGGGTTCTGGGGATCTGAATACAGGTCTTCACACTTGCGTGAAAGCGCTTTGGGGAGCTATCTCCTCAGCTCAGAAAATTAAGACATTAAAAGCAAAGGTGAGCTGGTCCAGCCCACGCCAGTCATGGTCAGTCCCCTAGTTCCACTAGTTCCGTTCTTAGGATGGGTTAGAGTGTCAGCGGGATGGTTGCTTTTTTCATTCATGATCAGTCCAGGAATGGGGTTCATGGACTCACTCTTAGTTCGTAGGAACAATGGAAAGATAGTTGTGGGTCCCTGGCTTTCAGGTGGAAAGAGTGGCCTTTTATGGAGCAGACACCAAACTGGGGAGAAGAATCAGGTACCACACTGACTGATGCTCACCGAGGCACCACTGTCTTCTAGCTCTGTGACCCTGGGCCAGTCTCTGATGCCTCTGGGCACGGTCACTTTTATTTGTGAAGTTCAGGCTCTCAGCTATGGCACAGGTTGATGGAAGACAATGAGATGATTGGTATTCAGTGGGAACCCCAGCCCATCGGTCAACATGGGCCTGCCGTCAATCTCTTTTCCATTGGGCACCAGGAAAGGCTGCTCCAGGAACAAGCAGAGGCCCCTCTCCTCAGCCTTCCACACAGATTATGTTTCTGTTGGCTGGAAAAAGAGCCTGGAGAAATTTGGGCATGGGAGCACACTGGTGATTTCCTGGATTTGTGAGACTAAGGCAGGAAGATTATAAGGCCAGCCTGGGCTACACCGGAAGACTGTCTAAAACAACCAGGCACATGGGCCTCCACTCTTCTGTGCTGAGCTATTGGCTACTGATGGATCCTGGGAGGGAAGGAATCATATCTTCAAATGTGTCCACGCTGGTGAGACACACACACTAGGCTCCATTGAACAGTTCTGAACCCATGGTCATACAGACAGCCCTGGTTAAACTCGGTGGGCCATAAAACAAGACAGAAAGGCGTGTAAGAGAAAGATTTGTAGGGAGGGACAAGAGTTGACAGGGGTGGGAAGGAGATAAGCAGGCGTAAGAGATGCAGGGACACACACACACACACACTTGTCAAGGAAAAAATTTAGTTAAAAAAAAATCTAGGACTCACGAATGAGAGAAGATGTGATATCTGTCTTTCTGAAACTGGATCGATTCACTTAGCGTTGTCTCTGGCTGCCTCCGTTTTCCTGCACAAACCGTGACTTCACAGGTTGTGTCCATAAGGTAGCGATTGTGAACAGTGCTCCAGCAAACATCATTGTGCAAGTTAAAACAGCAGCCTTGGCTCTTGTGAACAGAGTGGAAGGAGGGGCGGGGCTGGGCGGGGCTGGTGAGGGTGGAAGGAGGGGCGGGGCTGGTGAGGGTGGAAGGAGGGGCGGAGCTGGGCGGGGCTGGTGAGGGAGGAAGGAGGGGCGGAGCTGGGCGGGGCTGGTGAGGGAGGAAGGAGGGGCGGAGCTGGGCGGGGCTGGTGAGGGACGCTTCTCCAGGGCCTCTGAAGTCTGCAGTTAGACCTGGCCTCTGGCACTTCATCTCCTGGGAGGGGTGGCCACCTCCAGAGCAGGCCTTATATGTGGGTTCTTCCTCTGTCCCTTGGGAAGTGAATTCTGCAGGCAGCCGCAGCAGGAGGCAATGGAGGCGAGGAAAGGATCGCCACACCCCCCACACACCTGGTGACCCAAAACAACTCCTTTCTGGGAGGAAAATCTATGGTAAATTCAGCCTTTCTTGGTCTGATTTCTGGGATGACATTTTAAACCCTGACCACCAGGGAGTGCGGCCACTCCACAGTCATACTTTCAGGGGCACTTTCTGCTTAAGAGAGAAATCTGGGTGGCACTTCCTACAATCCAAAGGACATTTTACTCCTATGAAATCTCGGGAGTCTGCAGAGATCTACTCTTCTTTTGGTTAGGGTCACCAGGCCAGGCTCCCTCCTCCTGCCACCCAGTGAAAGGAAAACAAAAACGAGGCAAGAAACCCCCAAACCAAAGACCCTCAAACTAACCAAGCAGCCAACCAAACAATACCAGCTGGGCACCCCTCTGTCTCACCTGCACCAGATGGAAGGGTATCCTGTGTGGGCCCAGAAGGTGCTGGAGTCTGGCTAAATTTGTCTTGGCAGACTGTCTCGTAAGGGTCACTGAACACCAAGTGGTATTAGACTGTTGTCACAGTCACTTCAGGGTGGCTGTAACTGTTGGGGACTTGGATATGGAGGCTTAGCATGAAGGGCAATGACCTATGTAACTTTGCTTATGTCAGAACTGGACTCCAATACTTTGTTTCACCAGAAGAGTGCAATTTAGCTTCAGGGTTATTTGTTTAAAGTGCAGTTCTCAATTTTTACCACCAAGAGGCGCAACTGCTCCACACACGAGCACACACTCTAAAAGCTACGAATTTAAAAATAAAATTGACATAGTTATTACTTGCTTTATTCTATATATCCCTCACATCAGTTCTGAGATTTAAGCCAGTACTGTGTTATGCAGATAAGAATCCAAGATTTGCTCTTCCAGAGGACACAGGTTCAATTCCTAGTACCCACACAGTAGCTCGCAACTGTCTGTAGCCACAGTTCCATACCCTCTCCCTAGCCTCTAAGGTCACCAGGCACACACATGGTGCACAGATACATACACAGGCAAAATACCAAACACATAAAATAAACTAGTAATTAAAAAAAAGCTGGAGAGATGGCTCAGAGGTTAAGAGCATTGACTGCTCTTCCAGAGGATGCAGGTTCAAGTCCCAGAACCCAGAACTGTCTGTAAATCCAGTTCCAGAGGATCTGACACCCTCACACAGACATCCATGCATACAAAACGTCAATGCACATAAAATTAAAATAACTAAATTTTTTTTTTTTTTTTAGTCCAAGATTCAAAATCAGGTCTGTGCATCTGACTTCAAAATCCACCTTTAGCTTCATCCTCGATGGAGGGGAGGTAGAAGCTCATGGCTGCATGGGGATGGCAAGCCCCAGCCATCTTTTTGCGTGTGGCTAGCAGATGGAAATCCCTCTTCGGCGGGGCACCGTTTCCACTTAACCACACTCTTCGCTAAGCTCTCTTACATGGTACCCTGCTTTCTTTCTGTCCCCAAAACCGGGGCACTTGAATTCATAATTCCACATAGTTTACTGGCACAGTTATACCAACATTTTGTTATGTGATCATCAGAATGTGAAGGTGGAGTTTGGGAGTCAAGTAAAAATGATAACTATGGCTAACTGTCATGCTGAAGATGTGGGGAGGTGACTTTGTGCAGTGTTCACATCTGTCATTGTTAAGCCTCACACTGTCATGGAAGGGATTGAATGTCCCCAAATGTACACGCTGGAGTCCTGGTGCCCAAAGCCTCAGAATGTGGAGCCTTAGGGATGGGGCTTTAAAGAGTGGTTAAGTCAGACAATGCTGTTAGTGTGGGCCTGGACTCAGTCCATCTGATTTCCTCATGAGATGAGACTTGTACATACAGAGAGACTCCAGGGGCGAAATGCGAGGACAGAGGTAGAGGGCTGGAAGGATGGAGGTGCAGAGGGCTGGGAGGATGGAGGTGCAGAGGGCTGGGAGGATGGAGGTGCAGGGGGCTGGGAGGGTGGAGGTGCAGGGGGCTGGGAGGGTAGAGGTGTAGGGGGCTGGGAGGATGGAGGTGTAGGGGGCTGGGAGGGTGGAGGTGCAGGGGGCTGGGAGGGTGGAGGTGCAGGGGGCTGGGAGGATGGAGGTGCAGGGGGCTGGGAGGATGGAGGTGCAGGGGGCTGGGAGGATGGAGGTGCAGGGGGCTGGGAGGATGGAGGTGCAGGGGGCTGGGAGGATGGAGACAATTGTGTTAAGTGAATGAAGCCAATCTCAGGATGACAAATAGATGTTTTCTCTCCTCTGCGGCTCCTATGGTTCATATGGCTACATAAACTCATTATGACACAGGATGTGAAAGTGGAAGTGAAACTCTTTAGGGGGACAGAGGGGCCTGATGGGAGGGAGAGGAGAGGAGAGGGAAGGGAAGGGGAGGGAGGGAGGAGGATCAAGGAGGAACAAGCTCAACATATCTGTGTCTGGAAATACAAATTAATTGATTAAAACACAGACCCACTGGGTATGGTGGGGCACACTATAATCCTGGTGCTAGGGAGGCAGAGGCAGGTGGATCTCTGTGAGTTTGATGCCAGCTTGGACTACACACTTAATTCTAGACCAGCAATGGCTACATAGTGAGACCCTGTCTCAAACAACAACCCCAAAACTGGGGCTGGAGAAATGACCCAGAGGTTAGGAGCACTTGTTGTTCTTACAAAGGACCCAGGTTCTATTCCCAGCACCCACATGGAGGTTCACAACTGCCTGTAACTCCAGTTCCAGGGGATCCAATGTCCTCTTCTGACCTCTGAGGGCACCAAGCATGCACGTGGTGCTCAGACATACATGAAGGCAAAACACTCAAACATGTGGTGACATTGTGTTCTCCAGTATCTTGTGCACCTTAATAAACTTATCTGGGGTCAGAGAACAGAACAGCCGCTAGATAGACATAGAGGTCAGAAAATGGTGGCACATGCACCTTTAATCCTAGCATTCTGGAGATCCGGATCTCTGTCAGTTCTCTGTGAGTTCAAAGCCACACTGAAAACAGCCAGGCAGGGTGACACACGCCTTTAAACCCAGGAAGTGATGGCAGGAAGCAGAAAGGTATAAAAGATATGAAAACCAGGAACTAGAGTCTGTTAAGCTTTTAGGTTTTTAGCAGCAGTTCAGCTGAGATCCATGCGGATGAGGACACAGAGGCTTCCAGTCTGAGGAAACAGGATCAGCTGAGGAACTGGCGAGGTGAGGTTAGCTGTGGCTTGTTCTGCTTCTCTGATCTTTCAGCATTCACCCCAATACCCAGCCCCAAGTTTGTTTTTATTAATAAGACCTTTTAAGATTCATGCTACACAAACATATAAAAATAAAAAAACTAAAAAATGTAAAACAAAAAACCCCTACACCAACAAAATTCTCTGCTGTATGTGTACATGTTCACTGTAAGAAGTCAAAAATCATGGGCAAGGCAAAGAAAAGAAAGGGGCTGGAGAAACGGCCCGGGCTGGAGGGCAGGTGCTCTTGCTGTTCTTGCAGGGCGTGCACTAGAAGTATGACTCCAAGCACCCAGACTGCTACGTTCACAAATCTGTACTCATTCAATCGACACATACGTTTAAAAAAAAGTTTTGGCTAGTGTGGAACTTGCTATGTAGAACAAACTGGTCTTGAACTCACAGAGATCCTCCTGCCTCCGCCTCTGGGGTGCTGGGATTAAAGGTGTGTGCCCCCACACCAGCCTCTGGGGGAAAAAAGGTGGAGTCACCAGCTAGATGAGGAGGAAGCAGGATGGGCAGTGTGGAGAAAGGTAACACCACGTGTCAGAACATAGATTAATATAAATGGGTTAATTTAAGTTATAAGAGCTAGTTGAGAACAAGTCTATGCTAAGGCCGAGCTTTCATAATTAGTAAGAAGTCTCTGTGTCGTTATTTGTAAGCTGATGGCCCAAAGGTAACTCTGACTATACTGCATACAACTATGCACAGCATGCATATACTAATGTGTACCCCCAAGTGCATATGGACATCACAAATACAGTGTTACATACTAATGCACACATGCCAGCTGCGTGCATCTTATCTCACATGGGAAATCCATAGGGACTTTACTCACCTCCTAACATCTCTGTTCTCACACCATACACAGACGCCACTGTCCACCATCATCACTGTGCAGTTAGTGAAGGCTTGGGCCCCAGAACAGACGTGCAGAGGTGCAGGACGGAGTATAAGCACATATGTCAACAGAGGGTTACTGACCTGCTCCAGATGAAAGGGCCTCTCACAACAATGTGGGCTCCACAATCCTGGATAAGACCCTTTGTCATGGAGCCAGGCAGCCTGGGGATTCTGAGAATGGGAAGTTCAACATACTGGAGCCAAGTGTCAGTCTTAATGGTACCTTAGATGGAACCTTAACCTTGGCCCCAAGGACAGTCCTAAGCTAATTAAGCCCAAGCACTAACTCTGACACCAACCCCACAACCGCGCTTCTAGCCCAATACCAACCCCAATGCATCCCGCTCCCAACCCTAATCCAATCAAAATCCCAGCTATAACTCCAATCAAACCTCAACTTCAACTTTTTTTTTTTTTTTGGTTTTTCAAGACAGGGTTTCTCTGTGTAGCTTTGCGCTTTTTCCTGGAACTCGCTTTGGAGACCAGGCTGGCCTTGAACTCACAGAGACTCGCCTGCCTCTGCCTCCTGAGTGCTGGGATTAAAGGTGTGAGCCACCACCGCCCGGCAACTTCAACTTTTTTTAAAAAAGGATTTATTTACTTATTATGTATACAGAAGAGGGTGCCAGATCTCATTACAGATGGTTGTGAGCCACCACGTGGGTGCTGGGAATTGAACTCAGGACCTCTGGAAGAGCAGATGGTGCTCTTAACCTCTGAGCCATCTCTCCAGCCCTCAACTTCAACTTTTAACTCTAGCCCAACACCAAATCCTACCCCAACTCCAACTCTAATCCCAGTCCAAACCCAACCCTAAGCACATTCCATTGCCACCTACACCCTAATCTCTGGTTCAGGCATACCTCAGATGCGACCTCCCCAAGGAAATCGTCAAGATCTCAGATGGACTGAATGTCTGGCCCTCTCCTGGCTTCCCTGTTGGCACCAGGCGCATGATTGGTATTTTTAATTTTTTGTATATGTGACTTAGTATATAAGGTTACAACTTTATTATTAGCTAACATCAGTGTTCCTGAAGCCACTAGAGGCAAAATCTGTGCCCCTTTCTGACTGGTGTCCCTGGGGTCCAGTGGGGACAGGCGGGGTAGCTCTGAGTTTCATTCTTGATGAACGAGCAGATTGTGTGTGAGTGTCGAGAACACTGAAAATTCTCATGCGTGTTGCCCACACTCTAATACGGATAATCTTCTGGGTCCCTCCCGAAGGAAGATGTCACTGGACCATTGCAGGGCCAGCCGTGCCTTCCTGTGGGGAAGGAAGACAGTAGGAATAATTGTCTCCTGCTGGGGTCTCCTCCTGGCTGTGGGGAAGGATGGACAGGTGGGCTCAAGCAGGAGCCCAGCTTTAGGAAAGGAGGGGAGGCCCCTGGGACAGTGGAGACAGGCTGCTGCAGCAGTTCAAGGTTTTCTCAATGACAGGCTATGGCTCTCAGGTCCAGACCACAGACTGGCCCTGGCAGTGGAGGGTGCTACCGCTGTGGGAGTCCCTGGCCCATGCCACAGCTGTGGGATGCAGAACGCAGGAACAACCTACAGTGCTGGACTGGGTGCCCCACGGGGTGTGGCTGTGATCACTGTAGAAGGGAGTGGACAGGAGTGGACTCCACCTCCCAGGCGTTGGGTTTGGGCCGGTGCTCACAGGCTGAAATTTGTATGTGCAGAAACGACAGTTGTGGGCATCATGGATGTGGCCCTACTGTGGCCGTGAACTCAGCTGGCATCTGGAGTCTTCATCTGTAGAAACACACAGGACCTTAGACGCAGAGTCTGGTTGAGCGGGGCTCTCAGAGCGGAGGGAGGCATTGGGGCAGCAGACCGGCAGCTAAGGAAGGACAGGCTCCTGGACCCTGCGCAAGCTGCCTCCACAGTGAGGCTTCTCCATTGCTGAGGCATTGGCTGAGGGCAGCTCTGGAGGTTCTTTGTCCCCTTCCCTCCCTTCTGGGACAAAGGTGTCACTATGAGTGGGAACAGCTGCCAGTAAAAGGGACCTGGGGGACGTCAACAACACCCACTACATTTGGTGCTACATGCACATGTCTGCCCCTCACCTCTCTGCCTCCCAGAGTCATATGTTGGAATATTAGCCTTCAATGTCATAGGATGTGGAGGAGGGCGTTGTGGAAGACCATTAGGTCTAGAGATGAATACCTCATTATTGGGATTTGTGCCCTAATAGACCCAAAACATTTGCTTGGACCATGTGAGAGCACAAGGCAGGTGTCTGTGACTGGGAATTTGGCCCTCACCACCATCTTGGCCTTACCAGCCTCCAGAGATGTGAGCAAAGATGTCTTTGGTGGTGAGCCCACCTACGTACTCTGTTATGGTGGCTCAAATGGAAGAAGACAGTTGGCATTCATTTCAGCACCCATGAGGCCAGCCCAGGTATGCAAAGTGCTTGCAAATGACCCCAACAGCCTGGTAGGACAATGAAGTGGGGCACACCTTGCTGGACCCTCGTGGCCTCAGGTTCTGCTGATTGGGACTATCTTTGTTGGTCTAATGGTGTCTTGTAAAAGCGAGAGATGGCTGTTCAACTGTGGAAGCCATCACCATGGCACTAACGAGTTCCACACAGAAAGGAAACTGTAGCTTCATTGGAGGTTTGTGTTCCACATTGCTGGGCTGTGCTGATGAGAGGTGACTGACTTTGCTTGGGGTTTTCTTCTGTCTTTTTCCCAGGAGGATTACAACATGCCCTGGAGAGGAAACTGTTCTCCGCAAGCCTGCACTTACATCTAGGCATCCTCTGAATGAAGGGTGTGGCCCGCGGGAAAATGAGAGGTTCCGAGATGATGTAAATGTGGGGCTGCTCTGTCTAGAGCAGGACACCTGCCCCTGTCTCAAAGAGCTGGGTCAAACACTGGGAAACCAAACCAAGGTCTGTGACACAGGGTGTGACAGCAACCTCCCAACCCCTCCCTGCCAGGCCACTGCTATTCTTTAGCGTTCAGCTTGTGACAATTATTACCTTGAAGTGTCACCACCTAACAGCTGCTGGGGAGCCTGGGTTAAGGCATCTCTGGTCTAGGATGCTTCCTGAAGGAAGGTTTGAAGGAAACTCTCCTGTCCCTTGGGCTCCGACTGTCACCAGCTTACCTGTGTTTATGAGGGGGGACTCCATGCACAGAATCCCACTCATCACTGCCAGGAGCCTGTGGCTCTGTCCCATTACTGTTCTCTCCTCAGACGTTATGTTCATGTCTACATTGTGCAGTCGGCTCTATTTCACACTGACATCTTTTTAAAAAGTGATTTCTCTTTATGTGGTACTAACAATGGAACCTTGGGTGTTTGGAATGCTAGGGAAACCGAGATACATCCCAGCCCCACAGTGAAATCATACAAAATCTGACTATGCATGTTAAAACACTAATGTTTCCAGAATGTGCTGACATCTGGGGACACTCTTTAGCACCTGGGATTTTACCAACGCTTTTCAGTGGCTGGAGAGCGAGGTCTCATCTGGAAAGCCCAAAGCTGACCCTCTCATGTACCTTCACATACAGAGCATTTACTCTGTGCCACAAAACTGAGAAAGTTTTTTTTATCTCCTTCTGTCCACACCATAGCTGAGGTCAGGGATTGTTTTGCCCATACACAGGCCCTCATGCTGGTGAGTGGCAGGCAGGACTCTGCTCCGAGTCTGCCCTCAGAAGAGACTCTGACCTAGTGAATCTACCACCACATGCCACTTCAGGAGTCCAGGCCTGGCTCAGATGCAGGACCAATCTTACAGCCATGGAATGAACACAACTTGGTCATGATGTATGATCTTCTTAATGTGCTCTTAAATCTCCTTAAAAAGTTATAGTTACATTATTTATTTGTGTGTAAAAGTCAGAGGACAACTTCTAGGAATCAGTTCCTTCCATCCGCCATGTGGGTCCTGGGACTCAAACTCAGATTGTCGCATTGGCGGCAGGCACCTTTACCAGCTGAGCCATCTTGCTGGCCCTTAATGTGTTCTCGAATTCTATTTGCAAAAACGTTATTGTGAGTTTTTGTATCTATGTCATCAGGGACACTGGTGTACCACTCCTTTATTTGTTGTTTCTTTATCCGGCTTTGGGGATAGGCTAACCAGGCCGGGGTGAAAAAGTGTGGGAAGACACAGGGTTGCTTGCCACTTTTCAGAAGTTTTATTACAAAGAGGTCTGAGCGAAGCACTGGGGGACCGGGACAGACATTGCAAGGGCCAGGAGACAGCTGCAAACAACACAAACCAAAGCCAGACCCCAAACCACACACATGTTAGGAGAAACCACAGCGTTGTTCTCAACTTTTCTTCATAAACAGATGACCAAAATTGTTGCTGGCATTTTTAAATAGGTGGATATGTGATATATTAAAAAAAAAAAAAAAAGAAAAAGAAAAAGAGGAAAAAGAACATGAAGACGAGAAAGAAGAGGAGGAAGAGGAGGAGGAGGAAGCAGCAGAAGAAGGAGGAGGAGGAGAAGGAGAAGGAGAAGAAGAGGAAGAAGGAGGAGGAGAATGCCCCTGGGTGTGGCTTAAAAGCTCCCGTTCTCTCTGTGTGCAGATAAGAGTCAGTTTGACAGCTTCTGTGCACATGTCTCCCTTAAGATAAAACTTAAAAAAAAATGTGCTAAAGGTCTTATAAAATGTTTTTTTCTCTTTTCTTTTTTTTAACCTTAAAGGAAACTTTCTTTCTCCCCACAAAATAATCTCACAGATGTCTTCAGCACGGTTCTAAAACAGTGAACTACTTACACGGAACCCACAGCGTGTGGGTTTCAGCATCTTTTGTGTACACCGAGAGCACACCTGTGGCTGGCCCAGCATCTGGGGTGGGTGTCTGTTGCTAAGCAACCTGGAGGGGGGCAGCCCGGTGAGCTTGGGCTGGGGCCAGAAGTCCAGACGCAGGGGACTGTGTGCAGGCCAAGGAGTGGGGTCCACAGCTACCCTGGAGCAAGCAGGTCAGCGGGCAGAAGGTTCCTGTAGGTTCTTTGGGCTGGTGGTGGGCGGTGGACTGCCTCTGCAGAGTCTGGTGGGAGGTCGAGGGAGAGACTCAGCCCTGGGGCATGGGTGTATCACTGCTCTCGCTGGCCGGTCACCCTGCCTGCTGCCATGGCCTCTCTCTTGTGGTCAGCCCTTCTGGCTCGGAGCAGTGCCCTCCGGAGAGCCTCAGGGAGGGAGGGGAGGCGGGATTAGGTGAGGTAGAGCGATTTATCCCTGGGGAGCAAGCTGCAGGAGAGAGTAGGGGCTGTCAGCTACCAGAGCCCACCCTGGTGTCCTGGCCCTGTGTCCCTCACTCTGATCAGCTGTCCCTAAGGTTGAAGAAGGGGCTGCCCATCAAGCAGAACCAAGCATCCCTCCTAGTGTCCTACCAGGGACTATCTAGTTTTTTAATTTGCTCTTCATGTCTCTTGTGGTTTTGTTTGTTTGTTGTTTTTGAGACAGGATCTTAGGATCTTATGTATTCCAGGCTGGCCTTGAACTCTTGGTGCAGTTGAGGATGAGCTAGAACTTTTGATTCTCAGGCTTCCATCCCAACCTCCATCCTGAGTCCTGGGAATTCGAGGTACGCATCACCACACCAGGTTTAGGCAGGACTGGGGACCAAACCCAGGGCTTCATGCACTCTAGGCAAACACTCTGCCAACTGAGAGATGCCTCAAGCACCCCCACCATGTCTGCTTTTAGTCACAACATCATTTGTATATTTCAAACAGAATTACAGGAAGGTAGACACCTTTCTGTCTTTAGAATACAACACAGGGTGATCCAGATACGGTGTCCCATGCCTGTGTGAGGATGAGGCAGGAGGCTCATGAGTTCAGAGCTAGCCTGGGCTACATAGAAAGACTCCACATTTAATAAGAATGTGCTGCTGTGGATCAGACATTCTCACTCAGGGGAGAAGGGACAGCCTTAGGAAGTTCAGACACAAAGTACTTACTCCTCCTCGGCCCTGACTTTGGGAAGGGAAACAGAAGGGAAAGGGCTGGGGGAGAGTCCGTGCCTGCTGGGGCTATGAAGGGAATCCCTGCCCGCCTGACTCTGCACACCTGCACAGGCTCTCCCTAGAAGGTCGGAAGTGGAAGCCAGGTTCATGAGGTGGTGGGAGCACTCCTAGGCTGGGCAAAGTAAGAAGCCCATGCTGAAAGGCTGGTGGCCAGGGATGGGGGACACACTGCCTGGTGATGGCGATGGCCACTGTCCACTAGATACTCATACCTCACTCTCTTTGTGAAAATGTGGGACGAAAGGAGAAAAGGCATGAACCAAGGCCAGCCTCAGTTTCCCAAATGACCTAGGCATCCATTCAGCTGCGCCCCCTGGAGCTTTGCTCTGCTCCGTGTTGTTCCCAGTACTCTAAGCATCCACCACTTGGGGTGACAGTGCCTACTTCACATTCCCCCCAAATGTCTCCCTGTCCTCCTGGCCACCCCTGCCCCTATCGGGAATGGACAGTGAAGGGGTCTGGGGAGGACTGACCTGCAGGTGCCGAGGCCGCGTTCCCCGCTGGGGTAACTCCCATCCCAGTCCCCGCTGCTGGAAGGGTTGGATGGGCCAGGTGAGCGGGAGCCAGAGCCACCGGGAAACTCAGAGATGTGTGGGAAGTCCTACAGGAGAGGGAGGGGGCGGTGAGCAGAGGAGAGAGGAGCGGGGCCTCTCTGGCAGCTAGCATCATCTTTGTGTGTTTGAGGGTGTCTGCACTCCAGAGACATGTCCTGGGTCTACACAGAATGACTACTCTGCCTCTTCCCCCTTCTGCTTAGTGGAAGATCTTTGGGAAAATTCAACCTGAGGTGATTGTGTGGCTCAGTGATACAGCACCCGCCTAGTGTGTGAGAGGCTCTGGCTTCCACCCCCAGCATGACAAAGAAAAAAAGAAAAGAAGGAGTGAAAAAGAAAATCCAACCCCTATCCCAGCTGAGTCGGTGTGGTGATTTTGCTTTTGAGTATTTCCTTTACCGGGCTTCAGTTTCCCAATCTGTAAAATGGGGTTACTGTGCTGCATGCATATTTTGGAACCATTGGTAGAACCATCACTGGAGACTAGGGCTTTGGAGATCACTAGAAGCTGGGACAATCTGGCAGAGGTCACAACTGTCTAAGAGAAGGTTCTGGAACAAGGCTTAGCCAGCAACTAGTCCACTGCCTGAGGTAGCCAGTGTCTCTCAGGGTAGGTGTTCTAGACCCATTTCAGAGAACTGGAAACTGAGGCTCAGAAAGGTACAATGCCACGGCTGAGGTTGCACAGCTGGTGAGTGGCCCGGCCAGTATATGACCTCCCCCCTCAGCTGCCTTCCCTTTTAGTGAGAGTCACAGGAGGCTGTTGCTTGGTCCTGCTTACCTGTGGCCCTGGAGGCGAGGGGCTCATCGCCAGCTGCACCTGGAGTGCCATGGAGGCAGGCAGAACAGGAGGCTGAGGGGCTGGGGACATGCTGAGAGGTGGGCTGAGAAGGGTGCCCTGCGCGTGGGGGGGCAGTGGCAGCTGCTGGTGCAATGAGGGGCTGAGAGGGAAGGAGGGTGGTGGGGGGGACGTGCTGAGGCCGGGCAGCAGGGCCTTGGAGCCCAGCGTTCTGGCAAGGCTGGCAGGGGAAGCTCCACTGCGGAAGGCTTGCAGGTCGGAGGGCGTCAGGAAGGAAGCCAGGCTGGGCATGGCGTACATGGGCTGCTTGGGTGGGAGCATTTTGGCTGGTGGGTTTGCCTGAGCGTTCTTGACCTCGCCTTGGTCCGGAGGGCTCTGGAGGAAGATGGAAGCCAGGGATAAGGTAGAACCTGGGCTGTCGACCAGGTAGGTCTGCAGCCTGCAAGGCCTCTGGATAGCTCTGTGTTGTGCTAAGTGGTGGGGTGTGAACGAATAAGCCGTAACTATTCAGGGGCCTTCGAGTACACGGCTTTGATCAGCCAGTCAGCCCCACCTTTACCCTCAGGTGGGCTCCGCTGCCAGCATGGTCCCGCGATTCTCACCAACGCCAGCAATGAGCCATGCTCTGTTTATGCCACCCTCAGCCTCCCCCTTTGCTCATGCAGGCCTCTCAACTTTGTAAGCACCCTTTGCTTGGCCCTTTACAGCCCAACCCAGGCGGCATTTCCTTTGCACCAGCCTCCAGGACAATACTCCGCCTCTTTTTGGGCCCCAGACCCACACCTTGCCTCTGTACTTCTGGTGTGGACAGAGAGGTAGAGGGCATGGCCAGGAAGGAGTTAAGACAGCAAAGCTGGGTTTGAACCTACAACAGCCACTCAAATGGTCAATCCCAGGCTCATTGCTGGGCCCCCTGAGTACTAGCCCTTCTTGCTGAAGGAAGTCAATGAAATGGCGGCTTCACGTGAAGCCGGCCACACTGGAGGAGCTCCCAGGGTGTGGCACACAGGTGCCACTCATCCTCTCCGAGGCCTGTGGTACCCGCGGTTCCTAGGAGCCCCAGCCTTCGCTCTATCCCTCCCGTGGTGCACTCTCCTCAGGACATCGCCTAGGGATGAAGTTACCTTGGAGACGAGGCTAGCTCTGTAGGCCGCCAAGGCTTTCAGGTACTCCTTCTTGGCAGCTTCGGTCTTCCTCTTATACGCCTGAAAGATCCGAGACATGGGCAACTCTGGAGAAAACGTCACAGAGGAGCCACAGTGCAGAGGCTGGGATGCCGAGTGGCGATTCCAGGGCCGTGCATGGATGAAGGGTGTGGGGTCATAAGCTGGGTCGGTCGCCCCCTGGTCCCTCTCTGGTGGAGTATCGCACCGGGAATGTAGAGGCCAGGCTACACGCCCGTTCCTCAGCCATGGTGTTGGCACAAGTGACTCCAGAAGGGCAAGTCACCCAGCAGGATAATACCAAATCCTAAGACTGCGCTACCTTTGTATCCAGGAAACCTGCTCCTAATCATATTTGCTACAGTTGCCACTAGCCTTAGACCTAGGTGTAGACGTCACTGTGGGAATGGCCCCAGTGTGTTTCACATTCACTCTGGCCATGGCCTTTAAGTAGAACTTTTCCATAATGACTTGGGGCTCAGCCTTGAGACTATTTGGCCAGTGGCATAAGAATAAACTGATGTGGAAGACTTGAAAAGTGCTTAGACTCTGGGATGGCCCTTGGCTGCCCTGGGAACCAGCCTGGTGTGGTGATTTGAATAAAATTGGCCCCTGTAGGCTCATATTCTTGAATGCATAGTCACCAGGGAGTGGCACTATTTGAGAAGGATCAGGAGGTGTGGCCTTGTTGAAGGAAGTGTGTCACTAGCGGTAGGCTTTGAAGTTTCCAAAGTCCATGCCAGGCCCAAAGGATCTATCTCTCTCTCTCTCTCTCTCTCTCTCTCTCTCTCTCTCTCTCTCTCTCTCTCTCTCTCTCCTTCCTTCTCTGTCTCTCTCTGCTTGCAAATCAGAGTGTCACTCTCAATAACTTCTTCAGCACCATGCCTGCCTGCCACCATGATTGCTGCCACGATGATAGTGGACTAAGCCTCTGAAACCTTAAGCAAGCCCTCAATTAGATGCTTTCTTCTACAAAGTTACCTTGGTCATGGAGTCTCTTCATGGCAACAGAACATGACTAAGACACCTGGCTAGCCTCTGGGACCATGAGATCCACAAGACCCATCCATCTACCTTCTTGAAGAAGAGTTGCCTTGTGTGTTTCAGTTGGTTGCAGGAGCATAGTCAGCTCTCATCAAAGGCAGCAGATGAACCACCCTACCGAGTCCAGCACGACCCACAACATGAGAAAATGACAAAGGTCTCAGAGTGGAAGCTGGCAGCCTCCCTGGCTCTTCCAGCAGCAGCAGCACACACAGCATCCAAGGCCAACAGCAAAATCCCCATCAGAGACCTCTTCCTAGGAGCAAGACCCCGGCCTGCCACATGAGTGAGATCGGAAATGTGGGAGGATTACTCTCTCCTGGAGCAGCTCTCAATCAACGGCTAGCAAAGCTGGGGTTCACCCAGCACCCTCGCAGCTCAGGTGGGTCAACAAAGACGAGGGGTCTATGTTGGCTCCAGAGCTCCGCTTGCCCACACTGGGAATTCGCTGGCCATGTCCTCTGCCTTCCCCTGTCTCTTGTCTCTACTTCTTTCCAGCAGGTCTTAGACCATCTCTTAAACTCCCGGCACGAGACTATTCCACAAAGTCTCTACATTGCCAAATATGACAAGGACACACCTACTCACACCCGTGATCCGGGTCTCTACCCCCAGCTTGCTACAGTTTTGTGCTTCCCACGTGCCAACGGACAGCATCTCCACTCCTCGCTGTGCGAGACAGGGTCCTAATGAGTTCCCCCCACCCCCTCCACTTTCAAAAGAGCCAATGGATGGTGACTCCCGGGTGTTGTAAAGATGTAATGAGGTGATGGAGGGGGGATCCCTGTGGGGCTTAGCCTAGGCATGCTCCAAGCATGGTAGTCAGTAGGTAGGGAAGTCTGGGCTCAAAGAGGTTAGGTAGTCAGTCTGAGGTGACTAGCTGGTAAAGCATTTCCAATTGCATGAGCCAGCTCTGATCCCTTCTACCTGGAGGCCTTCGAAGAGACCACATGGGCAGTGGAGAGGTAAGGTCTGAGTTGAGGGGACTGCTAGATGTGGATGGAGATGCGCCCTGGTTTACGCATGGGGAGACAGGGGCCCAGCGAAGGCAGTAGTGCACAGTACTGGAGGTCATCAGGGATGGAAGGGACATTGCTTCCCAGCTTACAGACGAGCCCCTTGTGGGAACCTCTAGTCCCAGAGCCCCTTGTGGGAACCTCTAGTCCCAGAGGCCAAGCCTGATATCTTGGTTCCAGTGCCCAAGGTCTCAGGGACAATTTGGAAAGGGATGGAGGCTCACCTGTTTCTGCTCTTCTCCCAGGCTATCCCACATGGAGGCCACTATTTTGGAGACATCCCCAAAGGTGGCACTGGGATTTTGCCCCTTGATGGCGGCTTGGGTGTCTCTGAAGAAGAGAGCGTAAGCCGACACAGGCTTCTGTGGCTCATTGGGGTCTTTCTTCTTCTTCTTCTTTGGGTTCTTGGCCTTTTTACCTGGGTCTGCTGAGGGTCTCTTCTCGCCCGAGATCTGCCAGAGGAGAGGAGTCAGTAAATTGAAGAAGTCAAGGGATTCCTAGTCCAAGCGACTCGAGCTAACCTCGGGTCAAGCTAGGCTTTCTTAGCAGCTTACCTCAGACCCACCCAGCCTTGTTCTTTCTCAAGCAGTGAAAGGGCTTCCCCACCAGAGGTTCATACCCAGGCAGATTGGCCAATACTGTCATGCATTTGGAGGAGAGGGGGCAACAGACGCATACACACAGGTAGGCATGCATGAACACATGGACCAGACAACAGATAGATGGGTGCATACACACACAGATACATACATGTAGATGGAAATAGACACATGCACATAGATGTAGAGATACAGGGAGACAGACACAGACAAACAGAACAACATGCAACTACACATACAGACACAGATCTCAGCGACAGAGGGACTCACAGGCATGTAGAGACAGAAAGACAGACAGGTGCCCATGCACCCTGGGTAGCAGCCTGAGGTGTAGGTTTAACTTTTTAGGGAAAAGCAGCATGTGTGTTCATTCGGAGAACCTTAAAGTCCCCGGAGACCGTCGAGCCAAGAACACTAACTTGGTGGCGAGGCTGGCCAATGCCCTAGACTGCCATAAAATCAGCACTCTGGGACTTTCTACTCCTCCCTCTGGACAGAAGCCATTTATCATTCTATCACTTCAGAATCTAAACAAAAGCCTTTTCTGTTTTTCTAGCACTCTGTTCCCTGCCATGTTAACATCTATCTTTGCAGACTTTCAAAGTCTCCTGACCAACCCTGAAGAATGAGAGAGGCCCAAGCCAGGCATGGTGGTGCATGCCTGTAATCCTTGTATTCAGGAGGCTGAGGCAGGAGGATTGAGAGATTAAGGCCAGTAAGGGCAGCATAAAGAGACCCCCATCTCACAAAGTGAAAATAAGAAACCAAGGGTCCATTCTCCTAGACAATGAAGTGGTCTTCTGTGTACCTGTTAGATCCTTGTATCTGCAAGAGTGAGGTCCAGCCTCTGGGGGCCTGTTTCCAGGGTCTAACTCCATGTTTTTCTCAGTTATTCTGCCCCTCCCCATCATGATCATAAGTAATATCCAACTAATGTCTCTGATTATAAAGGGTCGGGCACCTTCACTGCACTTCAGCTGTGATTCTAGACAATGGTTTCCCCCTAGGACTCTGGTGTTGGGAAGGGCGAAGGTAACATGGCTGCTGCCCAGTCAGAGGACTCGCTCGAACAGACTCTAGGGCCATGGTCTCAAACACACTTGACTTAGGGTTTCCAGGATGAGGAGGCATTGGGATTTCCTTCATAGACCCCAGTTGTTCTCTCTGGGAACTCTTAGGCTAACGAGGTACTGGGGCCTTTGAACCAAGGCCTGGATCCTAAGTGAGGTCTGTGCTTCTGCATGCCAACAAGATGAAGGCAGCAAGATCAACAGATGGCAAGTTCTGGGCCAATGGCTAGACTCAGACCTCATGCCTGAGAGGCCAGGAATCTGGCAGGGCCTGTGGCAATGCTGGTGCTGTTCCAAGTGTCCCTGGGAGACTCTCCAGGCTTTCAGACCTTCAGCCCTTGGTGAGGCCTTGGCAAGGTGAGGACTGAAAACAAGTCTCTTTGCTCTTTGTGTGTGTGCGTGTGTGTTTATACGCATGTGTGTGTGAGTGCACATGCGTGTGCATACGCGTGGGTGTGGAAGGCAGCAGTTCATCTCAAGTGTGGTTACTAAGGTACTGTCTACCTCTTTTTTTTGAGACAAGGTCTCCTATTGGCCTGAAGTGTCCCATTCAGCTAGGCTGGCTGACCAGCAAGCCCCAGGGATCCTGTTGTCTCTGAGTCCCCAGTGCTAGGACTCACGTCGTCTTGCTTGCACAGCAAGAACTTTCCTGTTGCCCCGGTTCTGAAGGCAGGTCCCTTGATTGACAGAAGCCGTTGGATATGACATGGCAGTGGTTAAGGGTACATATGCCAGGCCGCATTGCAGCCATCCTGGGTATGAATTCTGGCTGTACAGCACCGATGTGTTAATTAACTACTCCATGCCTCAGTTTCTCCATCTGCCAAATGGGGATAGTGAATAAATATTAACTACCATGTAGGATTGTTATGAGAACTAGAGGAAGGGTGTTTATTGTGTGCTTATAAAAATGTCTGATCTGTGGGTTACAGAGGGTTTTTGTTGCTGTTATTTGCTTGTTTTTTTTTGTGAGACAAGGTCTTACATGGCTCAAGCTAGCTTTTCTGTGTAGTTAAGAACAACATTGGACTTGAAGGTGACCTTGAGCTTCTGATCCCTTGCCTCTACTTCCTGAGTGTTGAGATTCCGGGTCTGTACTACCACATCTAGTTTATGTGATGTGGGGGATGAATCCAGAGCTTGGTGCCTGCTAGGAAAACACTTCACCAATTGAGCTATATCTAGACACTAGAAGTGTTCGTTAACTAAAAAAACAAAACAGAAACCACCCCTGAGGCTGGAGATGGAGCCTGGCAATAGAGCACTTGCCTAGAACAGGCAAGGGTTTAAGTCAAGTCCCCAGGAATGTGTAGAAGCAAAGGGAGGTAAAATGGGGGGGGGGAGGGAGGAAGGAAGACATGAGGAAGAGGGGCGAGGAAGAAGAAAATATCCCCAGCCAGCCTGTGATGTAGGCCAAGTTATCCTGAGAATGATGCTGGACCAGGATGAGGAGAAGTACACAGAACCTGGTCAGTTCAGGGCCTCCTGTCATGGACACTGTGGCTGGGCACTGGGCCTCTTCAGGGCCAGCACGTGCCTGAAGGAGAGGGTCTCCAGTAGATTCAGCAGCTACAGCCTGATGCCCCAAGGCCTAGTGCCATCCCTCTGACCAGCGGTCCATGCTGACTCTCGGTTTCCAACAAAGGACTAAGCCTTTCTGGTCTTTTCCAGAGAGACATGATGGCATGACCTGGCAGAGCCCCTTCTCCACTGGGGAGGTACCTTGTAGCTACATCCTTCCACCTCACGCACCTTGAAATGGGCATCTGACTCCTCCTCCTGTGTGGAACTGGATGGAGAGGGAGTCGCTGACTTGCTCCCTGGGGGTGATGGGGAGCTGTGGGCGATGCCACTCCGGATGCCCATCTGGGAGATGAGCTGGGACTGGCTGAGGGCACTCATGTGACTGGCCAGCATCGCTGGGCGGCCCAGCAGGGGCCCTGGCCGGCCTGAGTCATAGGCAGCTACCTCCGAGTGGACCATCTCCTGGATCTGAGAGAGGACAAGATGACTGTTAGACGACTCTGCCTTGCCAAATGCTGCACCTGCCTCTCAGGCTCGGAGGAGGAACTTATGGATGAGAGGTGGCAAGAGGCCATTTTCATGCTGGGCTGTGCTTCCCATAGGGATCTCCACAGGAGAATCTCAAGGTGGAGTTCCGTTCTCCCCAACCTCTGCATGATGCAGAGCACCTGCATTTTGCCACTCTGTTGGCATCAGCCCTGGGCAGATGGTCAGCATGCCGTCCATACAGGAGGTCAGTCCAGCTGTGAATGGATCATCTCATGACACAAGCTCCGTGCTGGGCACGGCTCAGCCTTGTTCCCTGTGCCACAGTGAGCAGCCAAGAACACAGAAGCTGGAAGCCCACTTCTGAATCCTGGCCCAATCCCTTGCCAGGTGGGTGACACTGGCCAAGTGTGGCCTCACTGGGACTCAGTTTCTTCATCTGTAAGATGTATAATCAGACCACTTTCCAGGATTTAGAACAGTGTGAACTCTTGACCCAAACAAACGCAGTATAAATGCATGGTTCACTGAGGCTTGTGTGAACATTCTTAGAATTATTTTTATTTCCTCTGCATTTGTTATTTACTCTGATTTCTAATGGTAAGTGCCCGCACGTTCTCAACTTTTTCTTCATGAAGCAAGCGAATAGGCTTTCTATTTTATGTGGGGTTTTAAAACTTCTCTTTAAAAGAATCAGATCTTGCTGAGTGGTGGTGGCACATTTTAATCTCAGCACTGGGGGGGTTGGGTGGGGGAGCAGAGGCAGGGGGATCTCTGTGAGTTCAAGGCCAGCCTAGTTTCCAGAGTGAGTTCTAGGACAACCAGAGCTGCACAGAGAAACCCTGTCTAGAAAACAACAATAACAATAAAACAACAACAAAAGAATCAGATCTTTGTAGGCATGGTGGCACATGCTTGTCATGCCAGAATAGCCTGAATCACATAGTGAGATCCTGTCACAGACAAACAAGATCTCCAATTGATCCCTCCTCCTTCTCTCTCTGTTCTCTATTTAGTATCTAATTTCATCTTTGTTAACCTCTCCTTCTGGTTTATAAAGATTATTGTTGAATCCTCCCCCAATTTTGAATTATATTTCAAAATTCATTTATTTCCCTTTGTTTTATTGTTAATAGTGTTTAGGGACCCGGGAAACTGCTCACTGGGTGACATGTTGTGAGAGCATTAGGACCCTGCTCAGGTCCCTAGCAGGGTCCTAATGTTTTATTGTTAATAGTGTTTAGGGACCCGGGAAACTGCTCAGGTCCCTAGCATGCATGTCAAAAGGGAGCATCCAGGGGATCCTCTGTAACCCTGGCATCAGAGCTGGGAGGTGGGGGAAGGGGAAGTCTCGGGGGAGAGAGGAAGTGGAGGCAGTTGAATCAATCCTGGGGTCTTGGCTAAAATTGCAAGGTCCAGGTTCAGTGAGAGACCCCATCTTGAAAATGAGAGCAAGGCTAGGGAGAGGGCTTGGTGGTTAAGCTTGAGGGTGAAGACCTCCTGTAAATGACAGGTGGACATGGTGGCCCACCTGTAATTCCAGCCTTGAGGGCGGAGACAGAATCTTCAGAGCAAGCTGGCTAGCAAGATTAGCCATGTCACTGAGCAGTGGGTGTGACTGAGAGACCTTTCCTCAGTGAATAAAGTAGAAGGATAATGGAGGGTAATTCCTGCCAACAAATTCAGACTTCAATATGAACACTCAAACATGCACACTCACAGTCACACACAAGTGCCCACATACATGTAAACATGCGCGCACACATACACACAAAAATGGAAAAAGAAACACATGAGAGCAGTAGAGAACCCTGATGCTGACCTCTGGCTTCCCCATACTCACTGTGCACTATAGGGTGCCTTCAACCTACTCTCCCTGTAATTAAAAATAGTATTCTAATGCTAAAAATGTCCTTGAGTGTTTCTCATAGACTTTACCCTGTAAGAATGTTTTTGATCTATTTTATGTGCGTGGGTGTTTTGCCTGCTTTCATGTCTGTGCACCCTCAGAGGCTGGAAGATGGTGTCAGATTCCCTGGGACTGGAGTTGTGGATGAGCTGCCATGTGAGTGCTGGGAACTGAACTTTGGCCCATTGCAAAGAGCAGTAAGTGCTCTCAGCTGCTGAGCCATCTCTCCAGACCCAAAGGATACTGTGTAAGACTTTCGTGATTGATCTCTTTTATATAGGTATTTCATTCCTTAATTTTTTCTTTGACCTAGAGTTCTAAAGACGACTCCAGCAATGTCTAAGTGGTTCATTTTGCTTCTTGTCACTTGGTCTTGAGTTTCTAATCACAGAAGTGGTGAATGTTTGCACAGTGTACGATTTGTCCTTCTGAGAATTTGTTAAGGTTTTCTTTGGAACACAAATGTAATTAAATTATTGCCTGTTCCAAAGTACTTCCAGGCAAATGGTGGGCTGTGGCCATGCAGTAGGGTACCATCTATTGACTAGCATCAGTTGTATTGCTTAGCTTCTATTCTTAAATTTGTGTCTCTAATCTCACATGAGCTTGTCTAGGTCAGGGCTTTTAAAACTTTTTTCTCCACTTGTGACCCCTTATTCATCCAAGAAACATTTACATGGCCCTGAGTATACAACAGAATGAAACAGACCTACAAATCAAACACTTAACTGCTGAGAAATTGTGAAGGGATTTATTTGAAACATGTCTTTGGAACACATTTAAAGATGGAGACAAACCTGCATACTAATGATCTGAATGTGTTTATTTACTTTGACATGAAGAACTGAATCTTGGCTGAACCCTGGTACTTCAGGATGGAGAACATCTTCAACATTTTTTAGAGTTGATTGATATTTTGACTTTTATAATCATCAATACTTAAACTGCTTTGCATAAATACATAGCACAGAAAGGCAAAAGTATGTTTAGTACCATTTCAGACACAGTTGGAGATCCTGCCCTAACCCTAAGCCAAAAATCACCAAACAACTTCTTATGAAACAGGTCAGCAACTCAAATAGCAATTAAAAAAAACAAACATTCTATAAAAGTAGAATCCAAAGATGTACTAATTTATACTTAAATGATGAGGAAGATGGTGGGAAAATATTAAATCTTTGTTTTCCACAATAAAACCGTGATTTCTTTTTACATCTTTTGTGTGTGTGTGTGTGTGTGTGTGTGTGTGTGTGTGTGTGTGTGTGTGTGGTGTGTGTGTGTGTGTGTGTGTGTGTGTGTGTGTGTGTGTGGTGTGTGTGTGTGTGGTGTGTGTGTGTGTGTGTGTGTGTGTGTGTGTGTGTGTGTGCACGCTGACAGAGGTCAGAGGACAACTCTGGTCCTGGGTTATCAAGCTTGATTTTACATGTTTATGTGTATGGGTGTCCTGCCTTCATGTGTGTCTGTTTACCATGTGTGTTCAATGCCTATGGAGGCCCAGAATGACTTTAGAAGAAGCAGTTCTTTGCTAGAAATTCAATTCAGCATCTTCCCTGATCCTTACTGAACCCTGACCTCCTGTCCCTTAACATTCACTGTATGTGTCACAGATTATTTTTGATACAGACTTTTCAAATTAAGCAATTTATGATATGCTTTTTTTCTTTAGTATAGGACCACCTAGATCTATGTCAAGGGTTCAGGCAGGAGCAAATTCACCAGGAGGAAACATCTGAAGGTTTCTAAAGACATTTTCCACACTCACAACTGGGGGCCTGTTCCTGATACCTGGTGGGTAGTGGCAAAGGATGCTGTTAGTCTACAGCATGTAGGATGGCTGCCCTCTACCCTTGCCCCCAAACAAAGACTTCTGTGTCCCCAAATGCATATGTGTTGAGGTTGAGCAGCTCTACTCTCCACAGGGGATGTTTTCCCCAAGGAAAATCTCAGCCATGCTCTGTGCATGTTTCTCAAACCTGAAGACTTTACTTTCTCTTTTACTCTCAGGCTGTTTGGAAGAGTGTTTTGTTATCATTGTGATCGGGGGATACGAATCCTAGAATTTTGATTTTTGACTGTGCCGAGGCTTCCATTATGCCTGAGGACAGGACCATGCCTTGCAAAATTTTTATGTAAAATTAAAATAATGTAGGCTCAGGATTGAGAGTTTAGCTCTGGGGGGTAGAGTGCTTGCCCTGCATGTGTGAAGCCCAGGATTTGGTTCCTATCACTGTGAAATTAAAAAAAAAAAAAAAAAGTAATTGAAATCATGTTCATTCTGCCACATTAAAAAAAAAATCTCTCAATGTCTATTAAAGTACTGTTTTGACATCAGCTGTGAAACTGAGCTGAAGCCTACCACCCGTCCTGTGCCCCACAGGTTCTCCAGAGCATTTGGTATGAATGAATTTTCTTCAGGTGTGCTGATGTGAAGTCATCCAGATGTCCCAGAATGCTCTGCCTTCATGAGGGCTTCTTATTCACAGAAGCATCTTTCGCTCTAATGTAAACGAATGTTTCTGCCTTCCACCCTACTCTATCAGCTGTTGTCATGGTTTCCTTGCTGTTTTCTTCTCATCCTGCATCGTTTCAGACGTGCATTGTGCAAACAGCATATGGGTGAATGCCGTCCTGCAACCCAGCTCTCAATATATTGTGATCCGTGTTAGTACGTTCATTGCAAAAACCTGAAAAGTAGGCTTAGCAAGCGAACTTCCTTAACATGTAGAAGGTTTTATGATCGAGTATCTAAACACCCCCCTTCTACCGCCAATATATACATGCTCTCTTTTCTGTGTGTGTGTGTGTGTGTGTGTGTGTGTGTGTGTTTCTCTTAGGCAAGGTCTTACTATACAGTCTAGGAGGCTCTAAATTCTCTTTCCTCCCTCCTCAGCCTTTCAAGTGCTAGAATTATAAGTGTGCACCACTGTGCCTAGCTTTTAAGTGTTAAACAAGAAATTGACGTGATTTCCTCCAGGGCAAACTGGCTATAGCTTGTTAGGGCATGCTATATTTTTCTTTCCAGCTACCTGCAGCAGAATTCTTCAACCCCATATTTTTGACTTTGTGATGTAGT